TTGTTAGTTATATGGCAAAGTCTCATCCGCCGAAGTACGTATTTTGCCCGAGGAACTATGTTCCTGCAGGAGCATTTATGTACAAAATTAGATTAGACAATTCAAATGCTTACTTTAGTACCTGTCAAATTAATCTCAGCCGTCCATTCAAAAGATTGTGGGACCCCACTGATGGCCTGATTATCACGTGGCCCTGATTGTCGTTCTCAAGCACAAAACCCTTTCCCTCTGACCCGTTAGATTCCAAGCATATTCTCTACTAAATGACTATTTTGCCATGTTCCCACCACAGGACTTGAAATACCAATGTGAAGAATGGCATTGGACCATAAAATAGATCTCAAGTTAATGTGCACCTAATTATGCTTTGAGAAAATATATTATGCATCATCAATACATGGTTAATTAATCTCAATCTTTTCCATGGGTGGTAATGGACCTGACCAGACCTGGGATTTGATGGGTAGACCCGTCCTTGGGGCCAGGTGTAGGTCCAAAATTTGGACTCGAAAGATTAGGTCTGGGTCCAAGAATACTGTTTGGGTCCAGATCCAGGTCCAGCCCGACCCAACCTGAATAATACAGGTATTCATAAATGTTGTGTACTACTGTAAATATTGCCAATAATATATGTATATAATGGTTAAAAAAAAAAAGAAAAAAAAAAAGAGCTCATAGTCATAACGTGGCAATGAGCCGATTAGACTTAGGACTCAACGGATAGACCCAGGTCAGGTTTGGGTACGAGTTTAAATTTTGGACCCAAAAAATCAGGTCCGAGTCTAAACTTTGGACCCAAGGACCCGAATACTAGTCAGGTCCAGCTCCAGTCGGACCAGACCTGTTGCCACCTCTACTTTTGTTATTAAGGATGGATGATAGATGTTTCCACAATGTTCAAACAAACATTGATGTTTCCATCTTCGTTCTATTGCATATGATGGGTGTATGGTGTACTTGTATTTTATGCGTTATGCATTACTTTTGCATAATATGGTGCTCTCAAAAGTATAATGATAACTATGGTTTCTTGGGCTGGTTCATTCTTCTTAGGGTTCCTTTACTTTAGAATTGTGATTACAATATTTAACTAGTTGCATTCTTGTAACGTTTCTTCTATGATACAGCAACTGTTATAATATGATCGGAGGGAAAATATCGGGTGAATCTACTTTTACTTCCTTGGTCAAAAGATCTAAAGGATTTTTTTAATTAAAAAAATCCTTTAATCACTGTTTTAAAACAAAGCAAATCAACGAATGCAAGCAAAAAAATTGATGCGCATTAGTGTCAATTAGATTGCCCACCCACTGTACCAATACAAATGAAAATAACTTATGCGAAGTCATTTAATAATAATAATAATAATAATAAACCAAGGGATTTAGGGAGGTGAAGACCTAGATCACTCACCCACTGAATTAGAACATATCATGGGGTTTCAAAGCCTTGCTTTTGGTTAATTAAACTGTGTAGCTTCATCATTATCATCTCAATCTTATCTCAACTATTTGAGGTCCACTATACCAAATTTTGTTTCATCATTTTGCTCTTGATTTAGGATTCATGAATAGATATGCAAAATTTTACGTTAGTTGCCCACCTCTTATAACTCTCCTCCTTTATCTGGGGTTGGGACTAGGGATAGAAATGGACCCGACCAAATCCAGGATTTGATAGGTATACCCGACCTCTGGTTTGGGTATGGGTCCAATTTTTAGACTTGACAAGTCGGATCCGGGTTCAAGTCTAGCCATAGCTGACCTGTACCCGTAAATTATTGGAGATAAAATATTTTACTTTAAGCCTTATTTGTTTGGTTGTATTAAGGATCGTATACAATAAGACATCGTAGTTGTTTTTAGCTATTAGACGACAAATTAAAATGACTTGAAATCTAATAATGAGTGATTGTGACTTTGTTGTCAATAATATGGGTATATGATGGTAAAAAAAAAAGGTAAAAAAAAAAAAAATTAACACTAATAATATGATGGCAATGGACCCAACCAGACCTAGAATCCGACTAGTAAACTCGAGACTTGACGGGTATGGTTGTGGGTCCAATTTTTGGACCCGACGAGTGAAGTTCAAATCTAAAATCTGGACCCAATAACTATTCAAGTCCGGATCCAACCAGACCCTACCCGTTGCCATCTCTACTTAAAACCGGCATGACGAGCTTGGGACGTGTTATTCAAATACATAAATCCATCAAGTCCAATTGGCCTTTTGGGAGAAGTCGTGGGCAGGTAAAAGTTGGGCCAAAGGCGATATAGGAAAGGGCGAATAGGAAATTATTTCTTTACTGTTTAAGATGCAACTAAACCTACTTGTCAATGATAATGACCAAACTAACCCCATTAAAAATGACTAAGACTAAATTGCCTCTGAAATGATTAGGACAATCTCGATATTTCCACTTGTTGAAAGCAATGATTCTCAACGAGCCCCACATTCTCGAGATTTTCACATGAGACGAAAATGTTCCTATTCTTGTCTCGATTTTCATGAGATACCATTACATTCTAACTAATAACAGGTTCAGCCTTCCTCCAACAGAAAATAGCGACATTGTCCCCAGGTTGTTGGCTGGCAATGGCACAAGTACTAAATTGCCATTCGAAATCATGGCCCATTTCGGTACCGTCCCTCCTCTCGCTCCGCAAAAAGGCGGGAATCGCCGTCATTAACTTTACAAATATGGGGGTAAAAAAGGACAAACAAAATAAAAATAAAAATAAATAAGTAAATAAAATAAAATATTTACTTTTTTTTTTTTTATGAAAAAAATTTATATAAGGATGCAACCTTATAATATAGAACTACATATACACCTAAAAAATCTATTGAAAAAGGTAGTTTTAATGTTGAAAAACCCCTTAATTGATCTTTTTGATATCGAGATGTATGACCATGAAAAATAAAAAGATTTTAAGTCTCAAAAATAATATATTTTATTATCTACACCGTTTACTTTCAAGATTTTCATATGTTTATAGATCTATTTGGTTTTAACCATTTTTGAAATTTAAAATTTCATAATTAGATATAAAAATAGATTTTGAGATAATCCTAATAACATTTTACATCAAAATTATATACCGTAATAAAATTTGAATGTGCACCTTATGCCAATTGCACCCTTCTTTTCTTAATGTGCACCTTATGCCAATTGCACCCTTCTTTTCTTGCCATTATTTGCTGCCCATGTTTGACGAATGTGGCCTCAACCCTATTAATTTTTATTTATTATTTGAAACTAAATAATAACAATAACACAAATTTTAAAGGAAATTACTAAATATTTTATATTTTTTTTATGAAAAAAATACCCAAAATATCATAAGTTGGTCCGGCAGCTGGGTTCACAAAATTTGCTGGAAGTAGGCTAAGCACTTTCAGGTGCATAATAAGTGAATACTACAGGTTCTCTCTCCGTTTTTTTTCTTCTTTTTAAAAATGAGTTTTTTAAATTTTTTTTTTTAAAAAAAATTAGTTTTCCACTTCAGGTGCTAAACCGCCTTCTAGATTCCCTTTCATTAATAGAAATCGATTCAACACTTCAAACACTATATACATTTTTTAGTTATGTTTTTGGCCAAAAGTCAGGTCAGTACTCAAACTGTTTTTTTTTATTTTTTGCTCATGTCTGGGTTTAGCACTTGAAATGCAAATAAACTCTTACCTTTTCATCCTTGGATCAAAATAGGTATTGCACTCCAAGTGGAGTGCGGGAGGGGAGCAAGAGATCAGCAAAATAAAAATAGTTATATACCACTGGAATCTTGAAAAAGAAAAAAGAAAAAATAGAACTCAGAACAACATATGAAAATTTGCTAACTATTTTATAATTAAAAAAATATACGGTTCTTATGTAAAGCCCTAAATTCAAATATTTTATTTAATATTAATATCCAACTAATATCTATTTTAATAATAATTTAATTAACAAATCCAAGGAAGAAAGTCGTTAAGCTCTTCCGTTGCCATGCGGCCCTAAATGAACCTTCCTCCTCTCTCCCCTAATTCTACGACTTCAAAACCCTAACTTTGAAAGAGTTAGTTAAAAAGGAATGAGCTGCGGGGGCTCATGAAGAGATAGAAAGCAACAACATGGAGAGAGAGAAAGAGATGGAGGCCCACCAAGTGAGAGATAGATTTGAGAGAGTAAAAATAGTAAATGAGAGGCCGACAAAGGGAGCGGGAAATAGAGGGATTACAGAGCATGTAGAGAGAGAAAGGAGGAGAGAGAACGAGTTAGAGAGAGAGAGAGAGGAGGAAGAAAGAAAGAGGAGAAAAACGAGGAGTGAGAAGAGGATGACAATTTAGATTTAGGAAGAGAATGTCAAATTAGAGAGAGAGAGAGAGAGGATTGTAAACTTAGAGAGAGAAAGAGGGAGGACCGATACTTTCTCATAATGCCGGTGCCCGACCTTCCTCTCTCACAAAGCGAAAGCGAAAGCCGCAAAAAAGGAAAAACAAAGAAAAAGGAGAAAAATAAGAAAAAGGCCAAAAAGAGAAAACGGTGTAAAAAACAGGACGAGGTATAAATATTTCAGTGCTCACCTTCCCTTACGTGTATATGCATACCGTCTCATCACCGGTAAAATCCCGTCTTTTCCTAAGAAAACAGTTCACATTTTTTTATGCTTTTTTTGATTTTTTAATTCTCTCTCTCTCTCTCTCTCCCCAATTCTCTCTCTTTATCCCTCCAATTCTCACTCTCTCTCCAATCCTATCTCACTCTGTGCAGTTCTCTCTCTATCTTTTCCTCTCTCTACAATTCTCTCTCTCCGATTCTCTCTCCATTTCTTTGTCTTTGCATTCTCTTTCTATCTTCTCTTCTTCTCTCTCTCACTCTCTCTTTATTTATCCAATTCTGACTCTCTCTCCATTTCTCTCTATAATTCTCTCTTTTTCTCTCTCCACCTCTCTATTCACCCCTCTCGAATTTTTCTCTCCTCTCTCTCCATTTCTTTCTCTTTCCCATTTCTATCCAATTTTCTCTCAAACTCTGTCCAATTCTTTCTCTCTCTCTCTATCTGTCATTCTAATTCTCTCTCTCTATGTCTCAACTTTTGGGATTATTTTAATGAATTACACTACATCACAGTTCATCTCTGGGGCCATTACTTGTGTTAATGATAAGCACGCCTGGGACTCATCATTCCTTTGATCTTTCCTTCCTCTCTCTCTCTCTTTCTCTATCTTACGAGGATTTTTTACCCCTCTTCGCCTTTTCTCGCTCCTGTTCTCAAGCATTGATTTCTAGGGTTTCTTCCACGAGATTCTTTCTCGCTTTAGTCATCGTCGCCTGCAAGAGAGTGTAAGGTATGATCCGTACTCATCTCTCTCTCTCTCTCTGTCGCGTTTCTGGTTTAGTCTAACCGTAACTCTTGGTCGGAAAGAGAGGACAAATGCATGTTATGGCAAAATTTTACTCAAGCTATAAAGCAGCTAGCTGTGGCTCCCCTTGATCTTGTTTGGGTTTTTAAGGGTATGATAGATACCGTAATTCGATTTGTTATGCAAAGATTTTGCAATTAGAATGAAGAGGCTTGTGTTATTCGACAAGGTAGGAATCCAGTTTTCTAGAGTTTATTCAAGAGTTTTTCGCAGATTAATCAATTGTAGTTTCTTTATGTGATTTTTGAAGATTAAACTTATCATTCCATTCGTTTGGATAGCAAACTTTGCTATATTTCTCTTGATCTGAAGCCATTATATTGAATTCAGATTCCAAAGGTGATTTTTATTTGTCCATGGATTCTCAGTTTAGTATTATCTGTGGGATCTGAACCTCTCTGTCTTATAAATATAATCTTTGAAAATGAGGAGACCTCCCCTTTGTCTTCTCTTTTCACTGTGTGAATTTTTTAGTTGAGTTTGGCAGGTGTACCTGTAGCAGTGGTCGTTGATCTGTCCATTATTCTTTTGAAAAAGATTGTAAACTTTTTAACTTCTCTGGTTTGGTGTCTGTTTAGTGAAGTTACCATTTCTCTTCTTTCTTGTTCTCATTTACCTGCCTTTTATTTGTAATTATTTTCTATTAAAAGCTTTTGGACTTTGAGTGTGAGATTTATTGAAGATGATTCATGGCGTTTAAGCTGCTCCAACGCGTTATTGTTTAGTGAAGTTACCATTTCTCTTCTTTCTTGTTCTCATTTACCTGCCTCTTATTTGTAATTGTTTTCTATTAAAAGCTTTTGGACATTGAGTGTGAGATTTATTGAAGATGATTCGTGGCATTTAAGCTGCTCCATCGTGTTTCCTTAGTAACTGAAGTGATTGTAACTATGAATTTGCTTGATGAAATTACTCATTTCAAATGCTGTCAATAATCACTAGCCAATTTCACAGTTTTGATATAAATGATTGATATCCATGGTTGAGATCCCATCAATTAATTAGAAAAGTGAAGCTCTCAATTTGTTGATAAAGAAGTTTACTAAGTAGTATGCTTGTTGATCGGTTATTTAGCTTTTCAATTTGTTGTCGCTCTTACAAGTTACAAAGGTTTATATGATGATTCTTAAACAATATTTGTAGTGCTTTCATCTCACTGTTATTTACAACCATCCTAATTAGGGGTGCATTTGAGATATATATTTATTTAAAAATTTACTTTTCAAGCAGAATGCTAAATGTCTCATTGGTCATAGTTTTCCATTGATTTTCAATGAAATTAATCAGCTAAACCACCAAATCCTCATCTTGTTATCGTTACTTTAGAAGCTCCTAAAACAAGAGAATCAAGAAAGAACTTTGTAATTTATTTTGTAATTTCAGAGAGATTGATTTTTCAATCGATTTATTTAGGTTGAGGTTTACTGGGTCCATGAGTACTGGAGTCCCTTAGACAGTCTTATTCTAATGTGAATTTTTGTGGCCTTTCAATACTTATATTGGAAATTACTAATGCAAATCATGTTGCAGGGCAATTCTGCTCCTATCTATAACGCTGGATTGAATATCTATAACGCTAGATTGAACGGTAGTACCTTTCTGCAGCCAAGTGTAACCATGGCTGTTTCCATGAGGGATTTGGATTCTGCTTTTCAAGGAGCTGGACAAAAGGCGTATCCTTCCTCGTACTGGTTATATTTGACATTGGTTCTTTGTATATGTTTATATTTGACATTGGTTATTTATATATCATTGACATGTGATTCCTTGGAAGGCCCCCTTGAAGGTAGTTCTTTTCTCTGTTGTGGGTCGACCAATCCAAAAAAAAAATGGACGCAGAGTAATGACAAGGTAGTATGCATAGTGTAGAATGTGATCTTAATTTTCTTCCTGTATGGTGGGGTTGCGAGGTTTAGAACTATATGGCCAAGGGAGAGTGATCTTAGTGTTAGGTTGTTCATGTAAATTGAAGTCTTGGACTATGACAAATGTGGTTATTGTTTCTTTTGTATTTTGTTATTTTCTATTTTTGATTTTAATAATTCTTGTGCCAAGTGATTATTATATAATATTTTTAGTGGATTTCGTGATTTTCTTTCCTATCTAGATTGTCAATATTTGTAAATGTGTTGTCCTTGACTATCATAAGTGGATTGGAAATATGGCGCATCGAGAATTTTCGACCCGTACCCGTTCCAAAGTCATCTTATGGGAAATTTTTCACTGGAGACTCATACATCATTTTAAAGGTTAGAAGACATTCAATTGGCTTATTCTTTTGTGGATGTTGTATTGTTCTTTCGTTATCATTTAAGCAATTTGGTCGTTTGTGGTTCTTACACATCTTATAGTGAATGACATTCATTATCTGTCTCTGCATTTCTTTGACCTTTTCCTTTTTCCTTTTCGGAAGATATAATCTGACAATTTGATACAAAGTTTATTGATAATGCAGTTATGGATCTGAGGATGTTGGTTCTAGAATCTTAATTTCTTATAATTGTTACTTTTGGGAATATCTCAGAAGTTTCAAAATTGTCATTATATCGCTTTCTGAATTCCCCCTGCTCTACAGACAACAGCTTTAAAGACTGGGGCTTTTCGTTATGACATCCATTATTGGCTTGGTAAAGATACAAGCCAGGTCAGTATTTTGCATCTCGTCTTTGGACTATTATACTGACTGGCCTGGATTTCTATGTGAGGCCATTATGCATTATATCCTAGGTTGCCATTATTTATTTGAAAGAGTGACGATCCTTTATGGTGAACTCCATAGGATGAAGCTGGTGCTGCTGCCATTAAAACTGTAGAGTTGGATGCAGCATTGGGGGGGCGTGCAGTTCAATATCGGGAGGTACAAGGTCATGAAACAGAAAAATTTCTTTCATATTTTAAACCTTGCATAATTCCTCAAGAAGGTGGGGTGGCTTCTGGATTTAAACATGCCGAAGTTGAGGAGCACAAGACCCGCATGTTTGTTTGCAAAGGAAAACATGTTGTTCATGTAAAAGAGGCAAGTATGCATAATAGATGTATCAGATAATGATTGCAGAGTTTACTTATTTTGTCTAAATTCAGTTAAGTTTTTTGTTCTTCTGATCAGGTTCCATTTGCTCGGTCATCCCTGAATCATGATGATATATTCATTTTGGATACCAAGTCCAAAATATTTCAGTTCAATGGATCCAATTCCTCTATTCAAGAGAGGGCTAAAGCCCTTGAAGTTGTCCAATACATCAAAGACACATATCATGATGGGAAATGCGAGATAGCTGCTATCGGTAAGAAGAGAATATACAATTAATAAAATTGAGGTTATTTTGTGTTCACATGAAGATGCACAGTATGTAAGTATTTGTTTATTTATGTGTATAAATATGCACGCATACTTGTATGCAATGTATAAATATCAACGCATGCTTGTATGCACATGGGCTACACTTTCTTTGCACTTGTTTAGTCTGTATATTAATGTAAATGCATTTGTGCATGTGCAAACATATTTCTATGCTCTGTGTTTCATTTGATTCTTGGGTGCTGTTATAGAGGATGGTAAGTTAATGGCGGATGCTGAAACGGGAGAATTTTGGGGTTTCTTTGGTGGATTTGCTCCTCTTCCAAGAAAGACAACTTCAGAGGAAGACAATAGTGCTGCAACAATTCCTACAAAGTTACTGCGGTGTGTTGTTTAACACATTCTGGTTACTAGTTCTTTCGATCCATCATCTTCCCTAAGATTCATTATGTCTTTTCCTATTATAAGATTCTCAATTGTTGTCAGCAAATCAAAGGGGATTTCTACTAATTAATACCCTCATTTTTATCTTTTTAGTGTAGTGAAAGGGCAAGCAGTGCCCTTTGAGACCAATGCCTTGAAAAGAGAATTACTGGACACAAACAGCTGCTACGTTCTTGATTGCGGGTTGGAAGTTTTTGTATGGATGGGAAGAAATACATCTCTAGATGAAAGAAAAAGTGCAAGCGCAGCTGCGGAAGTAATCATGCTACCTTTTTCTTCTTGTAATATTTTTCTAAGATCTCCTATTTGTCATATAATGTCATAACTCTTACTGTTCATGGTTTGCAGGAACTGGTTGCTGGTCCTAGTCGGCCAAAAGCTCACATAATTCGTGTTATTGAGGGATTTGAGACTGTCATGTTTCGATCAAAATTTGATTCATGGCCTTCGACGACAGATGTGACTGTTTCTGAGGATGGTAGAGGCAAAGTTGCAGGTCAGTAGATACGAGCTTAATGTATGTATGTTGGTCCACAGCAATTTTGTTTTTATATATACTGTGTAATTTTGTTAGATAATATCATTTGATTTTCTGACACTTGTTTATGCTTTGGATCTTGTAGCTCTTCTGAAACGTCAAGGATTTAATGTCAAGGGCCTCCTGAAAGCTGCTCCAGTAAAAGAAGAACAACAACCATTTATTGATTGCACTGGAAACTTACAGGTGCTATCCCATTTTCTTCTCATTTATCATAATTACATATACTGTAGAGTGTATAACTTACCCACATTTATGTGGTCTACTAGCATTTTAGTTTGGTTTATGCCTCATCTTTATCTGTTTTGGAATGCTTGGGATTGAATTTGAGCCTTGACCCCTAATTTTCTCGTTATCTAACAATGCGCAGGTTTGGCGCATAGATGGTCAAGACAAAACTCTTATACCACCAAATGAACAGTCAAAATTTTATAGTGGTGATTGCTATATGTTTCAATACACATATCCTGGGGAAGATAAAGAAGAATATCTTATAGGTACCTGGTTTGGGAGGCAGAGCATTGAGGTAAGAAGTTGAAACTTCTCCAGGCTATGTATTCTAGTGAGCCGCTCTTTGTGCTTTTTTATCTTTATATGGTATTTTGTGTGAGCTATATATCAGATGAGGTTGTCATATGAGTTATAAAGATCGTACTGACTGCCCATTGACTCCTAGACTGAGATAATGACTCAGATGTGAACTCCCTCATGCAATTTAGCAAAATCAACAGTCCTCCAATGCCTCATAAATTGCAAACACCAAAACTATGGTCTTATCCACTCCAAGAATTCCACCACCTAACTGCTAACATTCACAACACAGTTGCGAAGGTCGGGAATTGGATTTGAACCATGCTACAAGTCTTCCTAAAATCAATGCTAACCCCATTTTGTATTGTATTCCTTCAATATTTTATGGCAATATAATAACCTGTTAGTTTTGTAGACATACCGCTACCTTGTTTGCCACAGTGGAAGAATGCTTTGTGGCCAGTTTCTATCTGGCAGTAGAGTTGTTCGTATTTTGGTCGATATGTTTCTAAATGTTTTCATAGGGCTGCAGGCATGTCCATTAATTTGGATGGCACAGATATTTCAGAGAAGTCAAAGGGGGAAATGGGGGCGCACCTAAGGCTCCGGTTATGTCAGCCTTTTACAAAACTTTCCCTTTTCTTTTAACACCGTACCCTTCCTCTCTACGTCTCTCTAAACTTCTTATAATCTTTTGTTTCTCTTTCTAGCCTCTCTCTCCCTCACATTCCTACTCTCACCCTCTCTCTCTATATGTAGCCTCTCCCGCTCTTTGTAACTGGATTTATTTGGAGAAGGGAGGAGTTCAGTTCTTCCTTTATGAACTGGTAAATGAGATGGAACTTTGAGAAGAGAGAATAGAGAGAAATGAGGTGGCTCTCTCCTTTATGAATCACTGAATTAAGCTTTCAATGGTGCTCCTCCTCCTCCTCAAGACCCATTCTCTCTCTTAAACCCTATTTCCTCCTCACGCTCAATGCCCAAAATCACAAGGTGGAACTTTGAGAAAGAGAGAATAGAGAGAAAAGGAGGGCTAACTATGATTTTTTGTTGTATGGTCCACCACCTCCCATTCGTTTGTGGTGTTGGATAGAGAGGGAAAATTCTGTTTTAGAAGATTGGAACTCTATCCACACAAAGTAATGGTAGAAACTAGGAGTTGTTGAAGGAAGAAGAGCATCATTTATTTGGTGTTTCTATCTAGTGACAAAGCTTACTTCAAAAAAAAGGGCTTCTTCTTCATCAAAAGAGGATAGCATGAATAGGAAAAGCCTACGATGGTTGACTCCCTAAAAACCAAGGGGAAAACCGATAAAACCAAAGCAGCCTCAGGTTAAGAAACAACTAGGAGGCGGCCCCATAATAGTAGAGTTTACCAAGAGAGGTTGCTAAATATGGCAGAGGTTAGGTGAGGGATTGTAACTGCCCTAAAACTTACAGAGCAGCCATGAAAGGAACAGGCCAATAGTAGTTCTGAAGTTTCTATCATACCATTGTCAGCAGTAACCAATGGCAAGATCAAGTCAAGGATAAACCCAAGAATTTATCCTTCCAAATAACACATTCCTTGGTTAACCCATCTTCTGTTCTTCTTGTGCTTCGCACTCCAGCTCTACCTCTCTCTACTTCCCCTGCTTTATTCCCTTGGATTTCTCCAGTCCTGTGACAACAAGCCCTAGGACTTAACCTAAATCTGCAGCAATGCTATAACTGCTGCTATTTACAACAGTCTTTCAATTTGTTGAGACCCATTGTTAGTTTTCCTTAATGGAGTTTCAGAGACCCAAAATTCTCAAGTCATCCCTTGAAACTCTGTTTTTTCTCCCTGTTTCATCCACTATCTCTGCATTATGTATTTATCAGAGTGAATACCAATTAAAACTCCTCATATATGAAGTACAATAAGCTTGAGAGAGAGAGAGAGAGAGAGAGAGAGAGAGAGAGAGAGAGAGAGAGAGAGAGAGAGAGAGTAGTAGAGTAGTAGTAGTAG